CAAGATGCCGCAAACAAACAACGTGACGCAACCTTCAACGATCGGTTTCAACAGATTGACTACCGATTTCAAGAGTTGGACGTGCGTTTCACAAATTGGTTTACCGATCTTTCGACGGGGATCGAGGATTGGCATTTGACGCTTAACAACGTGGTTGTTTCGGAATTGCAAACGAACCGCGATGGGGCTGTGGGCCGTGGCTTTCGCGGGGGAGACAGAGGCGGTTGTGGAGGACTCGGCCATGTCGGGGCGCCCCGACAGCGGTCCCCGCCACCTCTGGACGGCTTCGTGGACGGCGACAATCAACGCAGCGACATGGGCTGGCGCAAAGAGGCAGCCTGCGCTAGCGGATATTGTGCCCGACACGATTGGAGACTTGAATGTGATTGGGGACTTGATCGTGAATTTGGTCCGTGGGAGGGCCTGTTTCGCGTTGACATCTCCGAATTCGATGAAGAGCAAGTTGACGGGTCATTGTACGATGGTCCGCCTGTATTTGATGAAGGACCCGAAGAGGTGGAGGATCGTTTTCCCGACAAAGTGGACGATCTCTACGACGATCCGCCGATTTTCGTTGAGGAGCCTCCAGGGCTAGAGGATTACCATCATGTTTCGAGTTTCAAAATTCAGCTGTTGGAAGAAATAGTTCTTCTATAGCGCAGGCCCGAGCTTTTCTCCCATGAGAATTTGTTGCGACCTGACAAACAGATGTTGTTTTTTAGTCCCCACGGTGACTTCAGTATTCTGTGTGTGACTGCAGCATATATGCCTTTATATGAATTTCAAGGGGGCAATACTATGGAGGTTAGGTATTCGACCTTCGTGTTCGATCGGGGGAAACGGCAGGGGTTTACTATCATGGGTTCGACACCATACACCGGCCACGGATGCGCATCGGCTTCGAGGGCGAAGCCTTCCGAACCGGAGGAGAATGGTGTAGATGATGATGATGATTATTATTATCATTATTATTATTATTATTATTATTATTATTATTATTATTATTATTATTATTATTATAGGTATCTTAGAGAATAAGTTAGAAATCTAATATTATTATAAGAGATCTTGTCTTGTTGGACAAGTTAGGAATAGGGTTATGAGCCTTATTTAAAGGACTCCTCATCTATTGTTTTATTCAGTTGCTTTTGAATAAAAATATGAATTGATTGAGTTTGTGAGTTTTACGAGAGAGTATCTCGTTTACTCGTTTATCCTTCCCATTCGTACGCTCTGATACCAACTGATGCAGACCCTAGTAAGATATTGTCCGCTTTGGGCTACTTCCGCCACCCGCACGGCTTTGTTCTTGGCTGGGCTTCAATACACACCCACCAAAACGCGTCTTACTAGTGAAGGTATCCACATCCTCATATAAGGCCTGCTTCGTTTCCTTTCAAACCCGATGTTTCGTTCTTGCTTCGTTTACTTAATATCAATAATAATTTTTCGTCTAGGTATAGTTGTCAAAAAATATTTAAAAAATGGGAAAAGGTAAAATACGAATAAATTCTTTGACATTAACTTCTATTTTTTGAAAAACAACATAATATTAAATTATAATAGATAAATATCATCAAACTATACAACGATACTTATTTAAAAATTTAGATAAGAAATAATTACAAACGACAAATAACTATTTACAAAGTAAACAAATTAAATAAAATAATTATAAAGTGTATGGGTCGGTTGTGTACACAGCCGGAAATTTACTAGTCATTCTAATAAAAATCCATATGCTGGTCAGATACCGGCCACGTGTGTGTGTTTAACTCTGTATATATATTTAAAAAAATTAAATTGTATCCACCCATTTTATCGTCTTTCTTGCTTCTCCTATCCGCCCATGGAATGGAGGAGATATCGCTGTTTTCTTCTTTTTCCTGCTTAATTAATAATACAATATAATTAGTGAGAATGTATACAGTGTGGTCGTCATCATGCCGGACCATGGACCCTCACCGGAGGCTCGGCTACAACAACAACTTTCGCTTTTGGGTATTGCCGCGCTCCAACAGAAGACTGAGCTTTCTTCTTTCTTCTTCCGGCAGCCACGATAATTCGCCGCCGTCTAAGCAACCGCCACTCAATGTTAATTTAATCCTCTTTCTCTTCTAACAAACACACACACACACACACACACACGTACATCATTCTTGTTGCTAAAAAAAATCTTGAAATTCTGAGATTATTTGGTGCTGCAGTTGGGCTATGATCCTTCCGAGGAGCTGTTTGGGATATCTGTTGATTTGCAGCCAAGGTGCTTGATAATCCTTTTTTTTTTTCTTTTTCTTTTTTCCCTTAATAGTACACTTCCATAAAGACGTCAAAGTTGCTAAGCTATGTAATCTTTTCAGGAAGGTTGCTTCACCTGCGTCGAAAAAATCATGGTTTGGCCCAAATGGTCTGTATATTAGAGAATTGCCTTGCCCGAGTTGCCGGGGAAGAGGCTATACTCCTTGTGCAGAATGCGGAATCGAAAGATCCCGTTCAGATTGTTCACTATGTAATGGAAAGGTAAAAGCTATACACTATCAATTTGAAGAACATGTAGTAGCTTTTATAACTCACTCGATAGTTTTCGCAAATTGCCACTTTTCGTAACAGGGTATTGTTACCTGCAAGCAGTGCAATGGAGATTGTGTTGTTTGGGAGGAGTCGATTGATGAACAACCGTGGGAGAAAGCTCGATCGGTGTAAATCCCTTTCCATATCCAAACTATCCCACTATTTCACCAATTTCACTTCATCTCTTGATTAGTAGTTGTACTTGGTTAATGAACTGATTAATTGATTAATTCAACTAAATAATGTTTGTGTGTGTGTGTGAGTAGAGCTGTGGATTACATACATGATTATAATGCTCCTTTGTGGTCTGCGGCTACTTTGTCTCTGGTGGTATATATTACTGGACAAGTGAATTTCTTTTAATAGTTTTTTCGAATTGGCTTTGGTTAGTGCAAAATTATATTTTAGCCACTTTCTTGACGATGTCTCTGTATGCGGCCGTTTGAACAATAATTCCTTTCTTGGTTAGAATTATTCTTCCGTAAATTTTAGCTGCTTCATTCAAAACATGCATTGTAATTCTTATATGGTGTGATCCTATGATATCTTGTTTCAAATTTGTATATGATAAAACTCTACCTAAATGCATTTCAGTTCTCCCCTAAAAGTTAAAGAAGATGATGAAGTGGACAACTTGGATATAAAGCTGGACATGAAGAAAAAGAAGAAGCGTGTTTATCGTTCCCCTACTGCAGAAATTAATTTGAAGATTAGCCGATCATTAAAAGTTGGTCAACATCTGATTCGCTAAGATGTTTTTTTCTATTCATTACACGAATCATGAATTTTTGTATATTCTTAGTCTAGTTGGATTTTTGCAGAGCCTCAATGCCAAAACTGGAATATTTAGCAAGCGGATGAAGTTAATTCACAAAGATCCGGTGCTTCATGCTCAAAGAGTGGCTGCTATTAAGGTTTGTTGCCTTTTGAATGATCCATTTGTATTTTATGTGAGTAGAAGTTTGGCATTTGATTGTTCGTTCAGATGATTTACGCCATGCTTCTTCCCATGTCCCGTTGACCTAATGTTCTGTTGTGTTTTTTCCCCTTTTCTTTACTTCTTATTTCTTAGCCTCTGAAGAAGAACACAATTGAAAAAAGAATAAACAAATAATTAATAATAAATAAGTGATGAAAACTTGTGAGTCAGCATGTATACTAATTAATCTAAAACCAGTTTGATTTGGGTACAGTAGAACAGTTATTAAACTTCCTTCATGGCGGATTTCAGCCCGCCTGTCATATGCCATTTGATAACACTGCAGTCGAAAGAAATTTGCCAAATCATGTTAGTTTAGATTTTAGTAACTTAGCAAATTCAGTTTGTTTTAATAATATCATGAATGTTCTCATTTAAGCAGAAAACTAAGGGAACAGCTGATGCTCGGAAGCGTGCTTCTGAGGCGATGAAAAGCTACTTTTCTGATCCTGAAAATCGTCGCAAGAGAAGCATTTCAATGAAAGGTCTGTTTCAAGTATGGCTGTTTTAGTTATTTCATGCACCTTTTATTAATTTCCTAGTAAATTTGTCGAGTAGAAGTTTTGCCTGTGCACAAAGTCTCTGGGTTCTACAAATATTTCACTTCAAAACATGGAGTTCTCATTCTAGTTTCGCATGTTTCAAGATTTTCATTGATGTTACCCATTCTCTTCTATAGTTTTCAAGAGTTGTTCCAATATGCTATTTTACAGGGATAAAATTCTTTTGCCGAAAATGTGGAGGTGAAGGTCACAGGAGAAATTATTGTCCTCAGGCCATAGACAGACGGGTCAGGTGCCATCTGTGTCTGGAAAAAGGACACAACCGAAGGACATGTCCGAAATCAAAGTTAAACATGGAAATAAGCACTGTCCAAAGAAATCACCATTGTAAGTTATGCGGCCAAAGTGGGCATAATCGGAGAACATGCCTGCAGCGGATGGATAAACTAAAATAAAAAGAAAAAAAAAAAAGGAAAAAAAACAAAAATGTTGTTGCGAGTGATAAAACAAATTGCATCTAAAAGTAAACATACTTGCAGTCACCGTCGAGAGAAAGGGTATAATATAAGGACTTCTCGGCATAGAAAATGATTGAGTCAACATAGGACTTGCACTGCAAGCTCTAACCATGAGGAGATTCTTGAAGATTTGCATGATTTTTTTTTTTTTTGAAAATATTATTATTATGTCGTTGCGACTGTGCATGTTGTAAGGATCTGCAGCTAAATTCGTCAACTTTTTGTTTCAGTTGAGATTATTGCCTCCAAGAAATGTGTGATAATGTTGGTCTGATGTTGATGTTAAAAGTTCAAGTTGATTATTTTGCCTTTCCAATCTGATTGATTCATTTATGTTCATTTGTTTTGGTGAAGGACAGGGGTCTCATTTATTTGTATAAAATGCTGCTCCATATAATCCTTGTGTGAGATTTATTTATGGAAAAAGCTACTTGTACAACTTTTTTGTGCAACATTCAATGACAACATGATGTGACATAATGTGGGTGGCCGAGATACAAATAAATGTATGGTTAAGATTTAACTTAATGATACTTTTAATTAATATTGTCAACAATGTTGTAAACTACAATTGTACATGTAACATTGTCCTTAATTATGTGTGGTTTTGTATATTGGGACATGCTTATTTTCATTCTTGATTACGAGAGAAAAATAATGTGTGATTATGTATATAGGACTAGGGTTAACATGGGTCGGTACGGGCTGGAGATTGACAATCTCCGGAACCGTACCAAAGTTTGGAGATTACTAAAATTCAATCTTCGGAACCGTACCAAAATATCGGTTCGGTTTGGTTCGATTCGGATATTTTTTTTTTCCGTTCGGTTAGGTTCGGTTCGGATATTTGGAGATTTTTTATTTATTTTTAATTTTTTTTTTTTTTGGAATGGCCACCTAGTTGTATTTTAATTTTTATATTTTTTAATCCAACATTCATCAATACTTTATCATACTAAAGATTTTATTTTAAATCAATTGGAGAAATAACTCTAAATTTTAGTTAAGACTAAATTTGTGCAACTTACATTGAAAATTCAAAATTCAAACAAAGTATAATATAGCTTTTTTTAAAGTAATATTTCATTTACCTTCCATACCATGTTAGTTAGGAAATAGATTAAGACTAGTATCGACAAATTTAAGTAATGTTTAAATATTTTCTTAAATAAATATT